TTAGGGCGCCATCATAGAATATATTCCACGAGATAACTCGAACTATATGTTGAGTGCACTTGGAAAACTGATTATAATATTATAATACACAGCAGTATACTTATTCAGATATAATTGTATAATGTATATTGTATAATGTATATAAATTATTTATTCGTATATGAATTTGTATGATTTAATAATGTTCGCGTTGACCGTGTGGGTGATAATTTATTGCAAATATTAAATGTTAGGTGCATAATAACTTAAGTGTCGTATATTATATATTATTATATTTATAAAAACGATTCTGTATCATAGTTGTGCTCATTTTAAATTGTTTTCCTCCTATAGAAGCCTGTGTCTTTCGATTCAACTATTTGTATATACTTGATGGAATGTAGTATTTTATATTAATTCTCATACAAGTATATATTGTATATTATTGTGTAACACAGTAAAAATATTAAACGTTGTGTAATGAACACACTAACGGTTATCGTTCGCTCTGTGTTTTGTGTACATGAGATTTATCGAATATTTATCGACAAACGCGCCAATCGCCTTCGACTGGACTGTGTATTATGTGTGAATGGCAAATAAACTTACCACTATACGGTTTGCAGTATCTTTTTATCCAAGTTCCCGTGAGTAGCGGGTATCCGGCCATGTTTATTACTATACGTATAGTGATGCGATAACATAATAATCTCGGCGGCAAAGAACTGAGAAGAATATTTCCTATATACGTTCCTCCGCCGTAATTGTGCCGTAATGTCGTTTACTCGTCATATAATTTACAGGTATAAAACTGCGTCATTTTTTTTGTTTACATTTCTAACAATGCGACCACAACGAATACATAAACCCACAAACAATCTATTTATTATACGCCTATATATTATATTTATATACTGAAGGTCTGAAAAAATAGTTTTCATAACGTTAATTTTCGCGACGCTAGAGGAAAAAATCTCCCCTTTTTATACATTATTATATTTATATCCTAACGCAATTATAATGGATCACCCCGTGCGTGTCGTCGGCGGACTTTCACATCATCCACCACCCACAATTCGTGCTAAAATTCGAAAACTCTCATATAACTATAATAATAAATAACATGGCGATAGACCTCATCTCGTGCCATACACAAGGGCGCCGGAAAAAAAAACGTAACAAGCGGTCAATTTTTCAAATCCCGTGACGTGCATTTTTTCATATAATACGATCAGCCTCGAGAAAAATAAATTTATCGTTAGCAGTATTGTACCGTGTAAAAAACAGATTATGTGCCGCAATAGAGAAGCACCGTTTGGCCCTGCTCACTTCGCCGATTGGCGGTCAACGCTGCCGCTGGACTACTGTATAGACACAATACATAATATATTTTATACACCGCTGCAGGCTTCGAGGCCGAAATTTTTCTAATAATTCAAATTCGTATTACATAGTATTATACTTCCGTCGGAGACGGTCTAGCTGAGAATGTGGAAAATATACGCGCGGAATCTTTTGTGCTATACAAGGTTCTGTATACTATTTCGCTGCCATTTATTCTTCAGAATAACGACGTGTGGCGCAATGGCATTATATTATACACGTAGTTTATTACATTGTTCGATATTCTCTACGAATCCATCCTACATCGATCACGCACTCACCGTTCTCCAGAGTTGTGGGCATTTCAAAGTCGGAAAAAAATGGTCAATACTCGTTATCCGCGGAAGCGAAATATATAATGTATATTGTTATGTTACTTATATTTTCGACGTCGGTATATACATACCGTAATAATATTGACTACAAACTATATTATGTGTATTAATTATAGTTAAGTAGTTTCGTTTTTGTAACAGACGGTTGTCGATCTCGCCTCTAAGACCTCGCCCTCGACGCTCCACGTAGGTACGCATTTGCATAATAACATTAGAGGGTTTTATTATAGGCATTAAGTAGTAGTTATATTGTATAAATGCATMATTTATTCTATAAACGCAACGACCATTATAGAGAAATACACCTACCGTGGGCTGTTTAATATACTGACAAAGTAATTATATTTAAATGTAACTGCCTTTACCGCTATTGCAATTGTATTATATATATATAGCATTGGACATAACATTTAAAAAGTATATTTAATCTATATATGTATATTTAATATTTATATTAATAAATGAATAATCATAATAATAATAATAATACCCATGTCCTATATAGATTATAATTACACTTAACGACTATGCAGGTAATATATTATAGGTACCTACATCATAAATCTTTTCAAATAATTTTTTGCAAAAAGAAACGACGTTATTTTCGCTCTTTGGCATATTCATGGTCTTGGTCTATATAACGGTTATTAATTGTGTAATGTTATTACTTTTTTAATTGTATTATGCATAACCTCTCAGTGACGATATTATACAACTTATTGACTCAAAAATCAAAATACCATTATTGGTAAACAAATAGCGCAACGGGTTAACGGAAGAGAAAGATATTTTAAACTCCATAGTCGTATTGCTGTACGTTAGCGCTCTACCTACTTTTCGTCGTTAGTCGTTACGGGATAGACTAATTTTTTTGATTTAGAAACCACTTAATATTATTATTGTTATGTGTAATAGTTCAAAGTTTTGTTGTGTACAAATCATATCAGTTTTATACTGATTAAAAATTATATTGTTGTTTTAAAAGTATACCGCATAATAATAATTATAATAATACAATAAGTAATTTTTTAATCATCGATTATAATTATTATGATTTATCAAACTTACGGGTACGAAAATTTATCCTTATTTTAGAAGATTTTTCGATTCAATGATTGTGGTTTTGCTTAAACTCATTTATATAATTTTTAAAAAGAAAATAGAAAAACAATTCAGCAAAGTATTTTTGAAAACGTTGATATCAATGTGGTTTCGTAACTCCGCGAGATTGTCGTGTGCATTATTATTTTTAAATACTCATAAATACGTTGATGATATATCAGGCTAACAATGGTTCAAAACGTTTTATATTTGTATATCAAAATGTGTAGAATATTTAAATGGAGTAATCTGTAATAATATGGTTGACATTCAAAAATCTCCACAGTCACAAAACATTATATCAACCTACGCTATAAATGATAATATACCATATATATATGTCCGGAACTGATACTGGGGACGGCAAGACTAATGTTGGCTTATATTTTATAAGTTTGGTATTAGTATTGCTGCAATACTATAGCAAACCAAAAAATCAATAACCGTACTTTACATCATAATAAAATCGATGTATAACACTTCAATAACTACCTATGTAAACGTGGTATAATAATAATAAAGAATAACTCGTACATTTTTAAATTACCTCCAGGGTTCGCCACCCACCGTCGTTACATATTATATTATTATTATTATTGAAAATATGAGAAAGATAAAAAATAAATTCAATTATAATATTACTTAGGTAGGTAGGTACTATATTATGTATTATATAGATTTTGGAGACGACAAGTATACCATGGGGGCTAGGGCGCTAAGCGTGCGTATAAAATTCTTATATTATATAGACTAGATTTTTATGAAAAACTTCAACAATATAATCTAATTGCATACTGTAGGTTAAAAAATGTAACGTTCAAATAATCGCTCTCAGGTATAGGTGTATTGACTTATTACCTATATCTCGATCCATTCCTGGGAACACGACTGAAGGGAGATTCGCAGGAATTATCGAAAATTTGCAAGAACAAATATTTTAGCTTACACACCATGAGGCAAAATGATAGTGTATTGAATTAACTAATTATTTTAAATATCCAAGGTCTTTAATTAATGTCTATTTACCTAAGTGTAATATTTAAATTGTGATAAATTTTTAAGATATACCTTTGTTTTAGCCTATGCCTTATTATTATAAAACCAGCTTAACGATATCTAGATATACCTATACATAATAGTATGTCCACAAACTTAAAATACTATCGCACGCGCCTACGTGGTTAATTAATTACTTCAGCATGTTTTTGTAATGTATTTTATGCTACCTAATAATAATAAAATTATACATTACTTGATAACACGCATTTATCGCATATAAAAATAGCCATTGCAAGCAGTAGTAGTACAAACTAATATCGAGTGTCAAATGACTCATTTCAGAAGATACAGCACAAAGTATCGTTTTGCTACTGTGTTAACTGCTGCAGTATAACTTAAATCGTGGTGGTGAATCATCGATGATTCTTTGGTAACAAACAATGTTTTCACTTGATAATGTCAAACCACTTCAAAACTTGTCAAATCATTAATTATAATATGTTATATACCTAACTTATAATGATAATAATATACATTCCTATAAATACCTAAAATTATTCGTGAAATTAAATTTAAATTTAAATTTGTGTATCAATTGTAGTTAGACTTTTCAATGCTAGAACAATAATTCGTTAATATAATTTAATAATAAACACAATTTGACTTTGGCTGATTTGTTTGTTTTATTATTATTTGGCTAACCTTCCGCATACACATTCGGTACAATAATTGAGATTGTTTTATTATTATTATTGGCTTCTGAAGTAGTTGTAGTCAATAGGTCATAGCATAGTCATCGTCGCACTCACTTCACTATTCAGTATACTCCGTCTAGATAGGGAATGTTTCCCCCTCGCTATATTTACTTTTTGCGCATAGGTTTTTGGAATATTACTCCACGATAGCATACTGCGGTTGTCCGCAAATAAATTAAATACTTTGTGGTTTCCGTCAGTATATTGTATTTTCTATTTTTTTTTCAAATGATTGACATTAAGTAAGCCAAACGTGATTCCCGTTTTCGATGCAGTTTTTACTCTTTTGTCAACCGACGAAATAGTTGTATAACAATACAGCGCCTATTTATCCATCCTGCATCACTTCGGTCGACCTGTGATTGTTGTATATTATTATTGTACGTAATGTGATTATAAATATTTGTACTAAATACTAATTGCAATTCGTATATTTTCTTTTTTTCAGAAACCACCTCGGGAGAATGTGTGGATAATGCCTCCGCTGCCGTTACAACATCTTTGGTTTGCAATAACTCACCGGTGACCAAAAGACGTGTCTTTAGCGGGTACGTAATGATTTTTAATCTCGCACAATCACTGCAGACTATGCTATTTTATTAAAGTACAATTATAATATATTGTATCGATCGATTCGTCTATTAATGCCTAAATATAATATATACCACGCATGTCCCACATCGTAATGCAGGCCGCACTCACATATAATTTTCCATCGCTTATAAATCGTATAATAATATATTATTATGTGTTAAATATACTTTTATATTATGCTCATGGTCACAAATTAAGATATTTTATGTTTGCTGACGGGATTCGAAAATTTACCCCATATAATTATTTACATTCATAATTCATAATATATATAATTCACGAGTTGTTACTATAGGTAGCGCTCGCAACAGATGTTCTTATAATAGGACGTGATAACATATTTAATAATGTGTAATATTTATTATCAAATAACTATCAAAAAATATTTCTTTTATTTAATAAATTATATTAATATCTACATATAGCTATTTTCATAGTATCATTAAAATTTACAATTTTTTTTAACTAGAAACCCGAAATTATATTTTGAGTAATTATAGGATTCATTATTATTTTGTGTGATCGATTTATATAGGTTCGATACTTCGAGTTTGTACATTACAATTTCTCAAGTACATAAGTAATAATCGATATCGGTTGACATAATATTATATGGTGGGCTGCTGTCTGGCAACCAATGTTTATATATATTTTGTATTTTGTTTGCTTACTTGGTACTTTTAATCCCATTCGAATGTTCTGAAAATATACACAATTTGTTGATCCGGCTTACCAATTGTCAGTTTTTCACATGATAAAATATAAAGTAATATATTAGGTAGGTATATTTGTGACTTTCTGATTTTTACAACTCGTCATCATAAACTCACAAATGATTCATTTAAATTATGCTGTGCACCGCAGTGGCTGCAATCAAATTATTTTACCATGGGAGGAGGGGGAATCGCCGCTGCACGCACAGCACCACTAATCTATTGTTTCGAATAAAATTTTTTAATCACAATAATTATAATGTCTGTAAATCAATATTGATGTATTTTTAAATAATATTAAACTGATACCCATTTTAATTTTGTATCGATTTACAATATTTATATTTTATAGGCTTCAGATTTTAATTAGGTTGTAACCTACCTGAGCTTAACGTATCTTGTTAATATTTCTTCTGAATAAGTTAATAGCTTCTATATTATATTGTTCTACATTTTACCTATATTTAAGTATACATGTACCGTTTTGAATACATAATTAACTCAATTTTATGATATTGCAAAATCAAATATATACGTATAAAATATGTCACCCGTAGAATGAAAACGTAATAACTAATGAGATATGATGTGTTTTAGAAAAACATAAATCTAGAAGTTTATTAAAAACAAAAAAATCAAAAAAAGTTAATACTTTTCGAGATAATTAGTGTACCCACTTAAATGGATCTCCCTGTATACTTAGTTTATCATATACCTATTTATATATGGAACTGAATTTGATATTATTATTAACAATGTTTTCTGAAGCTCCTACGTTATGCTCATTTTATAACATACCCTACATTTCATATGTTTTTGAATTAGAGTAAAAAGTTTTTTATTTTGCATTCTGCATTCATATTTTGACGATTTTAAAGTCACATTTTTGTTTTAATATCATATATTGAAGCAATTTTTGGAATTTTATTTTAACATTTTACATGCATGATTTTTATTTAAATTTAATACCTTCAGGTATAATATTAAGTAGCAATTGTTGTCTATTATATTATTGGACAATATAGTAATTTGAATTTCCATACTCTTAATAATTAGAAATAGTCTGTAATGGTGTAGTTTAATTAATCTGTTGGCGCAATAAAATCGAAGTCCGGCGATATCCAGCTTTAGTATGGGGTTTAATGTCGTAACATGCGCACCTACCTACATTTTTTTCTTCACTTAGTTTTTTTTATTTTATGACCTTTATTAATATAATAGGTATAATTAAAAATGCTGAACCGACAGCAAGTTTAGACAATAGTTTTTCCAGATTTAAGTAGTTCAAAACAATCAGTTCTGTCTGTAAAAGTGTTTTACAGCTCTAAAAAATGTATGATTTCAATTATACGAAAATTATTTTAAGAATAATAATAATAATAAAACATTTAAATCCTATCCATAATTATTGTATTCTATTTTAATATTATTACTTTTTTGAATAAGTAACTATTTAGGAAATCAATCAAGAACCTAAATACTAAAATATACGTTTTTATATTATTCCAAAATTATGAAAAATAATAGAAAGACGCGTACAGCAATTGTCCTATATATAAAATATTGTTTCCCGCGGAAAGTTCTTATAGTCTTGATTACGTAGTTATTATACGTAGTTCATGTACCTGTATCTTTTTGTACATACTATATACATATCGTTCCACCACGCTTCTTATAAGTATCATGTACGTCCTGTATCGACGTGGTTTTAATTATATAGATAAATAGTATTTATTATAATATTATGGGTGCGCGCCCTCCTCATGCAGTATTTACACTTAAACTTGCCTCGTGTGATTAATTCGTATTTTGTACAACTTTCTCTTCACACCGCGCACAAACGTTTATTACTGGTGATGATATGTAAATATATTACTTACGCAGTTACGCATATAGGTACCTAGGTTAGTATAAATATATACATGTATATTATTAAAACCAACTCGTCGGTAACGCGATATTTTTTTGATAATGGCGATTTGCTCGGCGGTGTACGACGCCGTACGGCGCCACTGCGACGATGATATTCCGTCCGCGGTTGGGTTTCCTTATAGGGCCGCAATGAGATTTCCCAACCTCCGGCCCATTACCATATATATTATAATAATAATACGCGTTTTACAGTCTATGACCATATGTGGTTGTTTATTATGTTATACATTCATATATATACATATATATATGTATGTATTGCAATCTCTGACCATAGGCGCATGGTATATATTATATAATTTAATTTTTGTTTATTTGTCGTATACTCATCACGCGTTTTGTCCGCAGGAGGATGTGGATCCCACAACCATTGAGGAAATTCAGCAACGGCAGCAAAGTCGACAAAAACCACGTGCAGTCGTCGGCCAAAAAGGGAACGGATAAAAAATACAAAGTAAAATTAAATACTATATACCTATATACTTATATACCTATATTGTCACTTATCTATTACCGTCATACTATTATCTGCTATGAATCTATAATTCATCTCTATAAGTTCGAGACTTGTGGCGAATGCCTATCGAGATGTAGTCCATGTTTAATACATATATTATAGCCTAGAATTTTATACAAAGTCATTCTAACGAAAGATAATTCAAGTAATGGTTTTTTTTTTTCAAAGTTCTAAAAGGATTACGCCTCGTTTATTTATGTTCTACTACGGTTTTTTCATATACATATATAAGTTATAATCTTATAAACAATGTTATTTGTGTATAAAAATTAAATAATTTAAATTATCATAATAAACGTCGTGGGTAAATAACAAACCACAATGTGTTTAATGTGAAATTTGTAAAGTTTAAAACATTGCGTGTTAAATAAAGCTTTTATTTTAACATTTTTTAAGTGCTATAAGTCTCAAACCAGGATTTTTACTTTGTATATACATAGTAAAAATTAATACTAATTAATAAGTCCGTATAGTATATTATTCTAATCCGCTCGTAATGTGGGAAGTTTAATATGTATATTAAATATACTAATGCGTGCTGTTTTGTTTCTTTAGTCGCCCGTCAGCGAAGTCAACAAAACTTTGCCGAATGAAGACGAACAGAATGGTGAAGAACCGGATGACGATCTCGAATTGCCGCCACCCATGAAACCAATTTCCGAGTCGATTTTGGTGAACGCCTCCGACTCTGCCACAGTCCCTTCACAAAGAGTGAGTATACAAATATTGTACAATAGTATATATCAATTTTCTTTATTTTTGGATGTATGAATAATAATAATGTAATGTCCTTGATTATTTATTTTAAACCAATATACCCTTAATATTTTATTGGTACCATAATCGTATAATACACTTTTATAGTATTATGTTTTATACGCGCGTTAGGCAATCTTCATAGGTGCAACTATAGCTTTTTTTTTAAATGTTGGGGATTTTATTATAAGTACCAAATTGTTTCGTACCAATATAAAAGATTTGGCGTAGGTAGAGAGAACTTTTTTTAATGTAAGTAAAAATTCTGATGGATAAATAATAAATCATCATCGTATGTTTCAAGAGTAAGCCTGTTCTTTAAAATTGTTGGAAGTGATTATATAAGCCCTCTTCAGGTTTTCGCTTATATACAGTGATAGGGGGTATCTAAAAGTTCCATGTTATATTATAGTTTAGTTTATTTATTGTTTCGTGATCATGACGACTTTATTATGTGTATGTGTATTATATAATGTTTTGTAATAACTGACAAAACCACGATGTGTTTGTTGTTCTTCAGACTTCGGGACTGTCAGCAGAAGTGACGGCCTCGTCTTCGGCCGACTTGGCTGAAATCGAACAGATCGTCAAAGATAGAATGGTGAATTTTGAGAGTGAACATTTTTATGTAGATTGAATTCATTATATAGATTATATAGATAAATTGATGTATTTCTTAGAGTTTAGTGTTGTGTGTATGTATGTGTGTATGCAATCGCAGTAGTTACCTATTTCTTGTGCACGGCTTGTCTTTTTGTTTTTGTTTATTCCTTCTTTCCTTCTAGTTTTCTTGTCTGAATCGTAAACTGTTTTATAGGAACAACACACCACCACCGCTGCAGCCGCCGCCGCCGCCGCTGCCGCTGCCTCTACCATCAACTCCACCAACTTTTCCTCCGACAAGATAAGCGGTGAGTCGAGACTGAAAAACGACGTCGTCGAGTGCGAAGACGCGTTACATAAACGGGAGTATGTAATGAGAGAGCTGGTAGAGACCGAACGAGACTACGTCAGAGACCTCTCTCTAGTGGTCGAAGGCTACATGACCGTGATGAGAGATCCCGAGGCCGCTGGCTGTGACATCCCTATGCCTGAGGACTTGAAGTCTGGCAAAGACAAAATGATCTTCGGTAACATCGAACTCATCTACGAATGGCATAGAGAGTAAGTTATTTTACATTTTTGATTTATTTTAGTTACAGTAGATTTAGATACATACACATATGTATATAATATTTTTTTATCATAATAAATGACATATATTTTTTTTTAATTACATTTTATTCAAATAATTAAATATTTTAAAATATCTTTGGATATTTAAGTCAGTCATCATATTATTTAAATTGTGTCTTATGACGTGTTCTTATTTATTTCCGTATTTTACATGTATACTGTATAGGTCTAGTTTCATATACAAAATAACGATTGACTATATTATAATTTTAAATATTCAACCGAATAATTATCAAGATGCCTGTATTTTTTTTTTTAATATCTTTAATTCTTAATTTTATTACTTAATTGTTGATGAAATAAATTATTTCGGAAGTGCGCTGATATTTTTAGTGCATCATCTACTCAATAGATATGAATTATGCATAAGTGAATTTCAATTTTTGGTATTTTCACTTTATAATTTTTTGGTATTTTTAATTTTTTACAGTGTATTCCTGGCGGCCGTTGAGCGATGTCTCACCCGACCGCACGAGCTCGGCAAGTTGTTCAAAAAATACGAACGCAAGCTTTTGATGTACGTAGTTTACTGTCAAAACAAGCCAGTTTCCGAATACCTCGTTTCTGATCACAATGATTATTTCGAGGTAATAACGTCTGCCATAAATAAATTAAAGTATTTATATAGATAAGCTCGAGAAAAATAATATTATATCTGATTTTAATAATACAGTCACTAAAGCGTAATACTAAAATATTGGTGGTATAAAAATCAAAATATGTTTTAAATTATAACCATTTTATATTTTTGTCTGCTTTATCTATATACGGTCGACCATAAAATATACCACTATAATATGATCTAACAGCTGTTTTGTCGTTTTTTTTATAGGAAATGCGTCAGTTCCTAGGACACAAACTCCAGCTTAGTGACATCCTCATCAAACCTGTCCAGAGGATTATGAAATACCAGCTGCTTTTGCGGGACATGTTCAAGTACACGGAGCGGGCTAGGTTGGCAGACGAGATGGAAGCCCTTCGGCAAGCTATGCACGTCATGCAAGTAGTGCCCAAAGCAGCCAACGACATGATGGACGTTGGTCGGTTGCAAGGTTTTGACGTGAGTACATTATATACCTATTATATACAATCACAGACTTGGTAACTCTGCGGTCCTTATAAACACTGTGGTTCTTTTATCAATGTATACCTAATCACATTCTTGGCAAATATATAGGTATGCGTTTCTCAAAAGATTTTTTTACCTAATTTTAAGTCTTGATAATGCATTTTTAAACAGTGTTGTTTTTAACGTCACGTAATTTACTGTAAGTTACTTACCTATTGCTGTATAATTTACTAGGTACTGCTTTAAAATTTGATAATTTTCGAAAAAATCATTTGTTTTAGAATTTTCAAAAAAAAAAAACTAAAAAATTAAAAAATTTTATTGTATAAAAATTTAAAGAACTTAAATATGATTATGACTCAAAATATTAATTTACTCTCTTCCCTGGATAGTGGATACATGCCTTTATTGGCATTTTATTGACTTTGTGTAGTTATGTACATGAATTACCTTGTACAACTCGTCTATCGCTTTACACCAATATCTGGGGTAGATACTTTCTAAAATATATCAACATAATAATAATACCTTTTCGGTAAATCGACTTTTTGGAATGTGTTAGTTACGCTCAATTCTTATATCATGTTATTCTGGCCTTAATTTCCCATCCTTATAAGTTCGGCTTTTCGGATTTTACCATAATCCAATCCAAACAAAATCGTGATAAAAACGATTTATATTAACCTATCATTAACCGTTTTAGGGCAAAATCACCGCTCAGGGCAAGCTACTGTTGCATGGCATGTTGACGTGCGCCGAGGGCCCGAGTTGCAATCCGAACAGAGTACCACCGCTCAAGGACCTGCACGTATTCCTGTTCGAACAGAGTATAATTCTCAGTGAAGAAATGCGTAAAAAGGCGCAGTTCAGCAGTCCAGTGTACGTTTACAAGGCGCACATTCAGGTAAAAAATCGTCTACGATCTTTTTTTGCTTAAAAAAAATTTAAGACATTAAAATGTTAACAAAATAGTGAGGYGCTATTTCATAAGATAAAACCTATTCGTTTTACACATCGTAGAGTACTAAAAAAATTCATCAAGTGTACACTTTTTTATGAAACGAAAACAGAAACCTAATGTTTCATGTATTGTTTTCTTATCGATTTAGATACAATTAATTATTTTCATATTTTGTTTTACAAGAATAGTTTTCACTGTCAATTTTTATATAAAAACGAATAAACAAAATATTATACTTCAATATAATATTGCAATAAAGTCSATTTCATAAAAAAATTTGTAGAATTTATTTCGTATGAAAATATGATTTATTATGAGTTACATTCATATTTATTTTATAACAATACGTGATTATTTATTTACAATGCATATTTATTAGCAATCTAATTTCTATTTAATATTTTAAAACTTCATAAAACTTTCTTTTATGATTCATTTCTAATTTTTTGTTACACTTATATATGTGTAAATACTTATTTTTGATGTGTTAAATTTGCACTTTATGTGATTAAAACATATTAGTGCTATTAGGAGGTTATGATTTCCCATGTGTATTACTTATAATAAAATAATAATAACAATCATAATTATTAATTATGTTGTATTACAATATTTAAATTGCATTTCATATATTAGATGGCTAAAATTACACAATGTCTAATTTAAGTGTTCATTTCATATTATCACATCATGAAAAATTCATGAGTTTTTGATTTGTTTTGTAGTATAATATTAAATATGAAAGATTTCCATATCCTGATAAATAGTAAACTTATTGTTAATCATATGGCTATAAATCTTATCATATTAATGTGTTTCAGGTGAACAAAATGACCCTGGATGAGAGGCACGGTTCATCCAGCAGTAATTCGTCTGATGATTCGTCTGATGGATCTTTCATTATCAAATCCACCGACCCCAAGAGGCCTCCGCTATGGTTTGTGTGTCATGCGCACAGTGCTGAATCGCGTTCTGAATGGTTGCAGAACCTCAGGCAAATACTTCAGACGCAACAGGACTTCCTTAAAGCCATACAATCACCTATAGCTTATCAAAAAGAACAGACAAAGGAGGCCAGTTAGTTGGCAGAGTGTGTTATGATAAACAAATAAAATAGAAAATAAAAAAATACTATTCTACTTAACTTGTCAGCTATGACAGTTTAGTGTGATTGTGTTCGGCACATTGACAATTTAAGTCTGACCATGTCCCCAAGCAGATTGAATATTATAATAATAATAATTATTATATTATTAATATCAAGACGACATTCCTATTTTACATTATCTTTTAAATTTTTATCTAAGTAGTTTTTAAAAATAAATAAAGAAAAATAATACTATTTGTTTTTACATTTAAGACAACATCGATTAAATATTATCATCACGTGAGATTGACTTTTAACTTTAGAGCTTTCTAGAGGATATATATATAGGTATATATTTATGTATTATAATTTTTACTGTGAGAACAACGATTTTCAAAAAAAGAAATATCCATGTAGACAACGATTACATACAAGTTCTGTATAAACATCTTCAGGTTCTTTTTTTTTAAGGATCTAGTCAAATGTTTATTTAGACTAATTTCTATTTTATAATGTTTCTCTTACTATAATTATTTTTATTTTTGTTTATAAATCCTGTGCAGTTTCGTTCATTATTATTGATATTATTAAAACCTACAATATTTATACATATAATACTATAGACAGTACCTACATGTACAATATAAACATTATCTAAATGTCTAATAAAATTTAGTAAAAAAAAAATTATTACTATTCATTATTAGTATGCTCGTAATATTCATTAGTGATGTGATGGTCCAATATTTACGATTATCATATTGATGCCTTATCTAATAAGATTCTATTGTTATTGTATCATACCAACACCTAACGGACACCAGAAAACTAATATTAAATTATTATATTTATTTAATATGTATACTTTTAAAATATGAATACACAAATAATGTGAGTGAGTGGGTCTCTGGTGGATGATTTGTCATCGCCATGCTCTTATTAAAACTAAGGTTGTGTATGTTTGATTTTGTGTAATAATTTTTTTTTATTATTATTTTAATTTCATCAACATTATATTAATATAATATATTATAATTATAATTATTATATTTTTGTTTGCCAAAATTTAATGCACAAACTGTTGATTGTAAGTTATGATGACATTATAATATGTTTGTATATAATATTGAAGAACAATAATAAAACAAAAATTGTTGTTTTTTTTAAGACAGTTATTTTTACTTTGGAATATTTTGTAATTTTTGTCATTGCTGTTTATTTGTTTAAAAACGTGATAAAATATCGTCCAGTTAATAATTAGTAAAGTCCAGATTTATATGTTTTACATAATATCGTTAAATATTGAGTTAATGCTGTATTATAGAGTTAAAAATGTGGACGATTCATTTGACACAGTCCATAAGAAAATGTGTTTTTTGCATATTTGAACATATTTTAAGGATTAGAGAATATTTAGATAATTTGGAATATTTAGAAATAATTTGTAAATTATGAGAAAAAGATACTAATTTATTTTACCTTTAATATTTATAGGATAAAAGGAGAATATTTCGTACTATCAGAACATTAATGCTGCAAATCACGAAAACCATGTTTTAATAAAAACGAGTTTTTTGTTTTGACAACATTGTAAAATACCTTTTACACGYAAAATTTAAAACTTGATGTTTATGTAAAAACTAAACATAGGTACCTACCTTTTATATAATATAAAAATAAATTGTTTGACACTTGAAAAAATTTAAATTATACTTATCAATCTATTAATAATATAGTTTTATACTGAAATCTTACATAAAATTTTTAACCTAAACTTTGGTTTTATAATTACATAGGCAGGTAGTAAAATTAATTTTTCTGTTTTTGAATTAATAAAAAAGAAAAATAATCAATAGAGATTATGAGAACATTAGGTAAACTATATTAATGTATTAAAAAATATCTTAAATCGCTAAAAAAACAATTACTATTAGTTTTATATAAACTTTTAAATATTTTTTAGACTTATTGTGTGAACAATTTTCTCTTCAAATTGTCTTCTTATCAGTTTTATTTTCAGTCTCAATATTAAACATGATATTTTATTTGAATTTATATCTTAATACTTGTTTTGTATATAATAATAATGGCAGGTTGGTATCAATGTTTATGTTACATTGTTACATAATGTAATCCTATCTACTTTAATACAACTAAATTATTTATCAAAATAAATTACCTTTTAATTAAAAATATTCATAAAACTATTCTTTTAAACTATATTATTTATTTACTTTAGGTATTGGATCTAAATCTATATTTAAAAATTATTATTCACCAGGTAGATAATGATTTGTAAAATAATGTTTTAACTTATTGTCAATATTTTCATATTAATCAAATTATGATAATGGAACATTAAAATATTATTATCATATAAATAAAAAATATAGCCAATTAAAATAATAATAGTATTATAACAATTTCAATTTACAATTCAGTTGGGTGTTATTTCGAAAAAATACATTAGGTACTACAATAACGATTGTAAGGCTATAATATTGTGTGGCAATAGTGATGTATTATTTTGAGATATCACACTATTCCATTTATAGCCATTAGCCACCAATTACTTTCCTAAATGCATTACTGTTTTTACGTATACCGTAGGTATCATCGTAAACAACGATGTTTTTACCATTGGAAAACGTGTTTAACTCAAAATCGACAATTTTTTAGTTGTTACACTATTGCTCTGATTATGCGATTTGTTGGTTTTATAGAAATATTAGCATCATATTTCCGGTTTTGTAAGAGAATATAAATCCGGTGTTAAATAATACGCCATGTGTACAACAGTAGTTGCAATGGGGCAAGAACAAGACGTGTTTAGACGTTTAGTCTTTAGTGGTTGAGCGCACAGATACACAATTATGACCATGTACTCGATTTCCATTCCGTATTTATTGTAATACAGTTGTTGTTCTAGTATTGATTTCAAGCCATCATTAATCGCTATTTATTACTTTTTTTTCACTAAATCAGATTATCAAACTGAAAATTTAATCCAATTTTACCCATGGTAAAATGGTGCTTTTGTCAAGTTTTTGTTAGTGTTCGGTCAACTATTCGCCCTAGATGGGTGAAATAATTATCGTGTTGGAACGTCCTGCGGTTGTCTATTCAAAATAATATACGAATCAGTGCTATATAGTTTAATTATAGATAAGTATGTACTTTAGTTTATTGTAAAGTATCAAGAATCAATTGGACAATTATTTAGATATTAAACACTAATTAATAAGCTTTTGCTTTGCCTTATTGAAAAAAAAAAGATCCAGCCTGTCACCAAATGGATTCTATCTGACGCAGGGCCGTGTTAAGGGGGGGGGGCAATGGAGGCATTTGTCCTCGGACACTATAGTTTGGTAAAATCAATGTGGCGCCTCGAGCTTGAGAAACCGCTGTTGGTGGATCATAAACTTATATAAATGTCCATGGGCGCCGAAAATCTTAGCACGGCCCTGATCTGACGACAGCTCAAGTGTTTATTACTACCTAAAAGTAAGTAGATATTTATTACAATAAGTGTAAATATTGGAATTCAACATTCGACTGCTGTGCTTGTACATGACTAATAAATTAATGTGTTGAATAATTTTTTTCATCGTGAAAAAAAAAATGTTACATGACGAATTTTTTTATCAGTAACATAAGTACGTTATAAATCAATGTTTATAATATCGACTCTATTTTGTATCGATCAAAATTACGTTTTTAAAAATTAAACGTCGGTCTATTTCGAAACGAAAAAATAATCTCTAATGTAATTCACACTTTATTTGGTTCAAAACGTTCAATTTTTAAAAATGTAATTTTTATGTTGGGTCGTGATCGTCAAGATCGTTTTTAGTTAAACGAGTTAATGCGATTGGTGAGTAGACCTCTAGGTGATGTTTATCTGCCTTTTATTTGTATTTTGCAATTGAAAGTTTGAAACGAAAGAGAAAGCTTCATTTATAACTTTTCTTACTCCAAGACCGTAGTAGTATCAAAAGACTTCGATACTATATTATTATGTATACTATTAAATGTTTACTACCGTGTAGCAAATGTAGTCACATAGCACACTTAATTAAATTCGAATATAATAATTAATTATAAATAAAAACACATTAGTCGATATTACTTTTATTAAATTTGATACAGATGCAAATACAAACCACGACTACCTATATATGAAATGTATAATRATCAAAACACCAATCTAATTAATACGGAGATAAAAAATAAATACATAAATAAAATGTTCAGAATTTTTTTTCCTCGATGATTAATTATATACATTTATAGTCACATTTGCTATAAAGAAACAACATGTGAAATCGAAAAAAAAAATCCACCACGTATAAAATATGACACACCATACAGGGCGATTCATTTATCGCAAAGAAGTTGTTTTTGAATATATTTTGTTTGTATGATTCGAAATTATTACATCATAATAACGTTGTTGGAATAGGTATAATTAAAATTTTGATTTTCCTATTTTTTAAAAGACAGCATATTTTTTCCATTTCATATCCCGAAAAGGAGTATTTTTGTTAAGCAACGCATACAGGAATAATGGTAATTTAGTTAAAATTTCAAATGTTCATTGGATATMATATAATGATTTATGAGTTTATGACTTGTTGTTTTGCTTGGCCGACGGCAGGTGGTTAATCTCCGGCTTTGGAAACGCACACAAAAATTGTTTTTCGTAATCGAGTAAATCGAAATATTGTATCAAAAATAAAAGCCACATCTACGAATCATCATAATATTATAACTTCTATCGTTAATTTTTCTTTTTGGGAACTATAATATAATCATATATACATATATAGTTATATAAATAATATTCACTGTTAATTGTTGTACAATACAGGATGACAAAAACGGTAAAACTCTGTTCATATTATCTGAATTTTATTTTCATTTTTCGCATAAACGTACCTACTTAAATATCTCCTTATTTCTGGTGTTTTTTGTTCCGCCATAGAAACCTAATAGGTAGATATTATACTGTATTTGTATAGAACTATATATAATAATATATATGAGAACTTTAATTTTATTTAGACATTATTCTAAAAGAATAGGAAAAAGTGTCTTGAATACGAAACTTCTACCGAAGTCGTGTGTAACTACGCATTATCATATTATTATAAAGAAAATAAGTAGCCAATAAACCATTATAACTCGCCAATAATTTTAATAACCGATCGTTTGAACTATGCTGTATAATCGTAAATGTGTACGTTACGTAAATACAGTGCGAATGATAATGATAATAACGGTGTGAGTTCACGTTTCAGTTATTATAGGCTTATTAGTTATTGGAAGTGATCCGTTTCATTTATTGAAGCGATCTCGCACTAATGATTTCGTGTATTTTTTCTATAGGACTATAACAATATTAATAATATCKGTACAAGTTGTAACTCATAACGTCATCGGGTGTTGAAATATAAACCGATATAGTGTAACATCATCCGCGTGGTTGTATTGTGACGGTCATCATTTCGGTTCATCTTCTTTGAAAAATGTTCTCTCAAGTAAGTGCACACGTATACGCCATCGAGAGACTTGCCATTAATACAACATTATAATATTTCTTAAACACATCATCATTAATTGTTAGTTATTATTATACGAACTGAGATCTGAGACTGATTGACTAAATACCTATTTATTTATGTCAATTATTCACACTCACGTAAATACACAAATATTTCAAACATACATAAAATATAATTAATTATTATAATCTTAGTGCCGTACCCATGTCATATTACGCTAGTCTCCCCTAAATTATTTAAGGCACCTGTAAATTGTATGATAATAATCTACAAATGGTAGATATTATGTTTATTCAAGTGCGAATCACATCTTTCTAAGATTATGCGTTTCTAGCTATGTCTATTACGCAATGGAAAGTAGAAATCGCAGGTGTTTCGCAAAATATATTGCAAAGGAATAAACAATTTGAAATACGTACTTATTTATTACRGGAAATATTGTGTTTATATTTATTTGATTAATTGCATTATTTATATTAAAAATTATAAGACAAACAGGCACTTTAAAGAGGACGTAACACAGACATTTATTGTCTACATTTTGCAAGAGCGTAACATAACAAATTCAAGCTCAGCGAATCACGTAAGGGTTCGCTATATAACTTATAAATTAAAKAGAATCGACGTTTGACGAAACCTGAAGATTTGTGTGTGGGTGTTTTACAATAAATCCAGATTTCAAGTTAGTMATGAACATTTTGAATTTATGCTATACGCTATACGCTATACTAATATATTATACTAAGCAAAATTTTCTAAAAAATTCTTCCATCGTAAGAMACTCACATACAAACATAGATAATATTCTCATCATCATGTTTCGTAATCGTAATAGGTCGATTCACTTTGATTGATAAACTAGCGCAGCTACACGTGATCTGTTGAGCTTAAATTTGTTATGCTGTGCACTTGCAAGACGGAGACAACAAATATCAGTGTAACTTCATCTAAAAGTATCCATTAAAACTATAACGTCAAAAAATACGTTAATATAATCCGTATTTTATTATTTTTTTCTGAAATAATTCCATTACATGTTTGGTTTGTTACATATTATGAGCAATATGAGCTATAAGCAAATTGAGCATAATTGCGAATAATCAAAATGCACACTCGTGTTTATTTTTCAGAAGGAATAAGTTTCGTCAAAATGTGTATCATAAAAGTGTGAAAATTCTTAGTATAGGTACACTATACTAATACACTTTACTCATATAATATCGTTACATTGAATAATATTCTTATTKACACTCTCATTATAGTATTCTAAATTTTAATTATAATTATGTATCTCATGTTAAATAATTTATCATTTCTTTTTTTKGACGGTCTGCATGCAAACGTGTGACGAAATTTGACAAACGTTCAGTGTTATATTTTCGGTAAAATTTAATTCTTATAGTTAAAATACTTTTATAACTCCTTCCGAATTGCGTCCCTGGTGTTCTTGAGGGTAATACTATATTAGTTGCGCCCCGGTTATTTTTTATAGGATCATACTAGTAAAAATTATAAAAATTAAACAATATTTATGTTTCCATTTTTATATTTGAAATTGTAACTGCGTATAAAACATATTACCATTATTGCCGCTATTGGTAAAAAATATATTGTTTTTGTGTGTATTTTGCAATTTTAACTCTAGTAAAAAATATCATTGTATCGGTATAAGTTTGAAAGATAATTTTTTATGAATCTACTAATTTGTTTTTATAGAAAATATGACGTATTATAACTTTTTATTTATTTTCATATGAGACGCAATTCGTAATCAGCGTATTTTTTTCGAAAACCACTAATCATTATTAGGGGCTTAACACGTTTCCACCAAAATTTGGCCTTTCCCTTTTCCACCAATACCCGTATCTACCAAAGGTGTATCATCTTTTYCTTTTCCACCAATATCTGTTACCACCAAATKAGATCTACCTAATTTCACCACGGTTAATTTACCTAAATAATTTGTATAGGTACTACGCTTAATTACATCAAAATCTTTAATACAGTAATAATTTTATTTAAAATACTAATGATGGATTGAAAAAATGATATATTAGTATATTTAGCTATGTATA